ACATGGGGTACTGCTGAACTCCCTTCAATTTGCGCTCCATGGACCTTCCTAGTGTGTTCTATGAGGAGGTTTTTTGACCTGAAGTAGCGTACGCAGAACTTGCATTGAAAAAATTTGTTTGTTGGTTTGGGATTAGGGGCAATATGCTGACCGTAATATCCTGTACTGTGGCCATAGTAACTTCCGGTCCCCAATAGTGTTGCATTTTGACCTAAAGAAAAAAACATAAGGAAAATGAGAAAAGCAAAGCAGAAGAGGATTAAGAAATTCTACCATGCAAATCAGTATCATTTCAATTGTTCTTCATTAATAAATATCACATTCAAAAGGCCCAAAGTCTCACAATGAGGCCCTGATGAGTAGCCATAACACATTAATGAACATGCACGAACTGCTCCTTCTCACAGATGGAAATATAGGAGACAGCTTTAAGTTTAACATTCGCATCTCCATAAATGAGCCACGTAGTTATACAAGTTTCATAAACTGCAATATTTATTCTAGAACTTTATAAAATACTACCTTGTCCTCAAAATGAAAAGGAAACTAGGAGACATCAGGAAGCTGAGAGGATATTCAAGAAGAGAAACATGATGCCCAAACCACAAAAATGGGTCACAAAGAGGGAGAAACTCTGTAGAAGCTCCATATATCAAGAACCATGGCTTATAGGCCAAAAGTACACAAGGCCAATGAAAATGACTGAATTTTGCCGAGTTTAGTATAGATTTATTTACCTGATAAATCCTCCGCGATTGCATATTCATCCTTTATAGAAGAAAACTCCACCTCTGTCTGATTACTGGCATTCATGGACCCGGATCGTGGCTCATTAGCATTGTCCTCAGCAACATCGGTTGGCTGCAGAAATGCCGTGTGGACATCCTGTATGTGTGCCTTGAGATCTTCATAAGATGGGGCTCTGAAATCACAGCCATCACACTGAAGCACCTCCATGATTTGGATCTATCTACCCTCTCACATTAGGAACCTGTGGCAGAAGTCAGAACAAAGAAGCTTAAAGAATATACTAATAACATACCTGAAGCTGATGATGCCACCTGTCCAGAAAAGGAAAAAGTTCCAACGTCAGTAGATTTATCTTACTGGACTTTGTTCATTGGAACATGGGCCAATAAAGGCAATCAGACATAATAGAGACGATATCCTTAACCAGGTACCTTCAAAGAAAAATAAATAAATAAAAACCTAGATACACATTTTTGACTTGATACATCCTTAAATGCCATTTGTCAAGGAAACGCTAAATACTTCAAAAGTTTTAGAAGTCTCTGAGTTTTTTCACTGAATTCAAATCTTCTGGCTACTTAATATTGACTTTTGTTCTGCCTTGGGTTCATTTTCCTTTTGAATTGGAACCTTCTTAAAAGTAAAGAGGATATCTACATAGAAGAAAGGGCAGCTTTGAATCTTCATTAGCTGTTTTAATGTGATTAAAAAGATGTTTTAGCACCAAATGATGAAATAATATTGAATTTCAGGAGCGGCAGTAGAGTTTTCACTGCAGCTTTTATGTTTTTAATATTTTTACTAATATTGGGGTATACCTCTTTTTTCCCTTTCCCAAACAGCTCAGCTTTGGTTTTTTGAGATTTTTTTTTTTTTTTGGTTTGTTTTTTTTTTTTGGTTTTTATGAGCTGAATGGTTATCTGCTCTTTTACTACCTACCAATTATAACCTAACAGCTTCTTCTCCAATCTAATTAGGTCATAAAATATTTCTCATGAGGTTTTCAAACAACTGACTTTAGATGACAATTCAGTTTCTAGTATCATGTTGCACCTTGGCACCTCCATTTACTTAGGACCAGTTTCTAGTTTAAAGTTGCACCTTGGCACCTCCATTTACTTAGGACAACGGAAATTTGCAGCTTTGAAGAGGAGTTTCTCAATCATGATTTATTTTCCACTTCTCTTCTTTACAAACGTGAAGTGTACACTTGGATAATGCTGTGAACCTGCTGTGGAATAAAGTCAAACTTGCCCAGCTATCTTCATTCTGCTATTTATTGCATGACTGAAATATAGAGAAAGCTTCACACTAACTCCATGGAGAGTCATACCACTGAGAAGTCAAAAATGTATTAGAAAGGTGTAGTTCTTCCTATCTTAATATATATCCTAAGTCAGTTATTATCTTAATGAGTGAGTTCCTTCATTAAGCTCACCACAAACTACTGAGTCATTGAAATCTAGAACCAGATGTCCAAGAACTAAAGCTGTGGCCATATGATGTAATTCTCCATACCTTTATTGTGAAAGATAAATTCTGTAGAAGGAACAGAGTCCAGTAATAATGTGTCAAGGTAGTGAAAGAGGCCATTGCCCAAGGATTTTTCTATGAAAGAATGCTCCTCCTGATAGCCTGCTAAAATAACTTCTGGCAAGTCCAGCTCTGGACAGACAGCTCGCAGAGTGAGACACAGATATTTACCTCCTCTTCTTTCACCCAGCAATCTATCCTTTTTCAATAAACATTGAACTGTGCACCAGAGTCTTTCAGCTAACTAAGTCTCAATATTCCAGAGACACAAGCTTTTATGTCTAAGCACCAACCCAAATTGTGTGGAAGAGGTTGCTATCAGCTCTGGATCAAATTACAGCAGTCACTGAGGCCCCACCCCACTTCTCCTTTCGCACAGTCCATTAGACCTGAAAACAAATTTTTCCATGGTGCAGACGACTCCTGCATTTAGAACACTTCACAGAAAAAAGCAGATCATCCAGTGTGCACTCCCCATCCCCCAAGCTTAGTCCTTTCATCTCAGCCAAACAAGCCACAGCTCTGCTGAATGTGTTTATCACACTTTCAAGAGATATGAGCTCCTGCGTCACTGAAGCTCTAAGACTCACTAAGCTGCCCTAGTCCTCTGAGCTTTAGGAGCAGCCATTTTAGCTCAGAGCTTCTCCTCCGTGCACAACATGGCTTCTCCTGGATTCTGCTAGGCTGACAATCAGAAATGAATGCTAGAAGAGCAGGCTGGGCTCCTCCTATGCTCTTCTCTTCCCAACAAAGAATTAACTGTTTTCATTTCTTTCCGAAAAGCAGCACCTTTCTCCTTCTCAAATGTCATTCACCAAGATCTCCAAAGGTTCTTTTATCCCATGATTGATATGCTGGTTCATTAGTCCCAGCAGAGCCCTAGTTAGAGCAGGACGAGCCTGGACCAGATTCTGTTCTACAGCAAGATTTGGGGGTGTGATGGGGGGGGACCTCCAGAATGCCTTGGCTTCTTGAGAGTCCTCCTTCCACACACAGAAGACATACCATCCGACTCTGCTTGCCAGATTCCAAAGTCTAATGACCTTTGTTAATCACCAGCCAGTCTGTCTGCATCAGCGGACCCTGCCAACAGGCACACCCTTCAACACAAAGGCTGTAGCTATTCCTTTTAAAAGAGGTTCTCTGAAAGCTCCATTGTGTAGCAGAGAGGAAAACAAAATCTCTTCCCTTCCAAACTTCAAGCCTTTAGAAATAATGCAACAAAAGGCTTTCTGCTGTGTGTCTTTTGGAAAGTTTGAGACTGGTTTGCACAACACCAATACAGATCACGGTTCTGCACAAGAAAAGCAGGACACCTTCAGCATTAAGCCATCCACCTAGAGATGAAATTCATCTCTCTATCCAGTTCTCTACTATCTTGGTGTCTTCCTAAACTGTTATCAAGGATGCTAATTTCACAGGACACACACACAAACTAACAATCTCCTTGTTCCGCTACAAAGGAGATTAAAGGGTTATGAGATCAGAAAAAAAGAGCCACTGATTTGGAAAAGGAAGAGATGATGAAAGTGATTTCCTAATGGGTTCTAGCTTTAATGTTGCTGTAGTCTCTACCTCAAAAATAGCTCAGAGCCTTAGAAGAGGTTAATCTCCAGGCCGCTGAGAGAACCAGCATCAGGTAGTGCTGAATGGCCTTCAATATCTGAACCAAGTAGGAAATGAGTGAGGGTGTACCATTCTTTGAAAGCCATTTTCACTTTGTGTACACATTTCTCCTGAAGAGATGCTGACAGAAGAAAACAGGAATCACAAGCATCGCCTCCACAATTAGAGAAACAAACACCTGGTGTATTTATGAAAGTATAGATGTGCAAATATGCAAAAAGCAAGAGTAAGAGAAGAAGAGAGTAGAGAAAGACAGAGGCAAAGAAAACTGGACCTGAGGATGACCCATCCATCACCTAAAGAGAACGTGTTTGCAGCAGATGGTGCTAAGAAGATAAGGCATAAGCTCTGCGAATGTGACTACTTCACCAATCCAGAAGAGCAACCACCCTAAGAGGCCAAACTAGACACTGACCTGTTACAAAGTTATGGTTTAAAGTTGAAAGTCTTCGTCTCACATAGCTACTTATTTCATGTAATAATACTGTGATAATAAGATGAGTAATATTTTTCTCAATTACCAAATCAACAAAAGCAAAAGAGTTAAGTTTTTATACTCACTTAAATGCTATTTCAAAAGGTCATGAAATTAATTTACAAATCAAATAGCTCATCGTTCTCCAATCTTTTACACCCCAATACAGCATCTCCAGGCCCCTCAAGGTCCAATAGGCTGTGTGTGGCTGACTAGATTCTAAATATCACCTGTGTTTTTGCCTACTGGATGAATACAGATGCATCATTATACTGGTCCTCCTAACATGAAACCCATAGTCCATCTTAATTATTGAATACTCTTCAGTATGACTTATCAGTTGTTGTTGTTGTTTCCATCTACATATATAGTCTGGGGATTTCAAAATGTGGGGTTTTGGTAGGAAGGCCAAATTCCAATTGTCCATATTTGACAAATTCTTGAAGACATACTTTAAAAATATACAGGGATTACATTAAAGATCTGGACTATATACATGGGAAATTATGGACACGGGCTGCTTTTTCCCAATCTTAAGAACAATTTCAATTTATACTGCCTGCCTAACCACTTTCTGTCTCAGAATTCCAGGGATATATTATGCCATAGTTTTTCCTCCTCCTCTGAAGAAAGGAGACTAATCACACCTTTACTGTGTGTCCTTCTAACTCACTGCTCAGATGTAACTGGAGAGGAGACACATCCTTGACTTTTCACAACATTCTCATAAGCCTGCCACCATCAACCTTTGTCCAGTCAGCTTGACAAAAGCTGTTCTTTAAGTGGTAGCCCAGGAGCATGACATAGTCCCAAGTGAAAATCCCAACTGTCTCCAGGAAGCAACCAAACTGAAATCCACAGGCCTTGCCTAGATCTAACCTGTTGTCTGACTGAAAGAATGTAGATCAGAAATAAAGCTGTGAAGCACCACAGCCATGTGATTCAATAGCAACTAATTATAACCTTCAAAGCCTTTGAGAAATAGAATCAGAAACACCATAAGGTGCTTTTTCCTGTCCACTCCAGAAACCTAGTTTCATTTATAAGACACTAAACTCCCCAAGTCTCCTCAATCACTATTCTAATAAAAGGCCTAGTTGTTTTGTGCATCTTTTACTTTACTTTCCTATGAACGGAAAAAACAATTATCCAAGGACAGGTAGTAGAATGCATAAACTTTGGGATAGTGCAGTTGGAAAAAACAGAAAGACCAGGAACCTAAAGATCATGCTAAAAAATGTATTTACAGGGACAAACAGGTGGCACAGTGATTAGGGTACTGGACTCCTACATGGCCAACTGAGGTCAAGTCCCTGACCTGATAGCTTTCTCTCTCTCTCTCTCTCTCTCTCTCTCTCTCTCTCTTTCTCTCTCTCTTGCTCACATGCTCTATAGCAAATTTAAAAAGAATAATACTGATTAATAAAATTAAATAAGTAATTCTTTCTTTAAAAAAGAAAGAAAAGAATTTATTTATAGATCGGACACTTGATATAATGAAGCCTAAGAGTTGTGGGGTGTATTGTAAGGTTAATATGTCTAATTGTAAGCTCCAGGACCTTAAGATGAAAAATGGAAAGAACAAATCACTCATTTAAAAATTGTTT